CTGTCCAGGCAGCCCCAGAGGTCACCACCAACATAGAGGGAAGGACAAGTTCCCCCCCCCCCAACCAGCTCAGAAGCTGCTTGGCCCGCTGGCAGCTTGCCCCCCAACCACGGGAGATATGGCAGGCTCTGCAAAAAAAAAAAGGTATTAGGCCCCTTGCTGTAACGGTGACAGAAGCCCCTAAATTAAAATGGTGGGTTTTTAATCTCCACAATTAAAAACCCACCATTTCAATTTAAGGGACTAAACCCATGTCATGTGTACAAGCATGCTAGGGTGCCACCTTTATGTCTGCATTTCTTTAGAGAGGGTACAGTATATTCCAGTGTAGCCAACTATATACTGTAGCCAAACCTTTGGCTATATACTGTAGCCAAACTTTTTACTGTAGCTCCTCTATACCTTGCCAGGTACTCAGTGCTACAGGGATTAATACAGGAATCAGGGTTGATACTTTCCCACCACATTGTGGCTACTACCTATCCTGGAATTATTCCACGTGACCCAAATCCTCCTCGGATGCATATTACAACCAGACAGAAATAACCTATCTTACTCATGTTCTTAATATAAACTGATTTGATCCACTAAGCAAGATGCAGTGCTGTTTCCTGAGCAGTCTAAATGTCATATGCAGCTTTTACTACCTGCTTGAAGTTGATTCTTGGTATATTACTGGTGCTTCTTATAAGATTGTTATTTATATAAGGGTAGACAAGTGTTGAAAAATAAGGTTGGGCCTTCAAACGCTTTCTGTCAGAATCCCTAAAAGTATTCTAATCATTAAGATAAGCTACAATTTTCATTTGGTTTTCTGTGAGTATCTGCAATAGCGATCTTTAATGACTATGTAAAGCATTACATAACTAAACATACATAAACAACTTCAGTTTCACAAAACCCCTAGTGTTATTTTTCAGTTCAAGTTCATGCTATTTCGGGTGCCTAAGGCAAGTAGTTAACCAGGAATGACTTTCCAATGACAGCCTTTTCAAACACAAGTTTTCTGTGGAGATTTTGTTTTAAAGACTTCTGTCATATATTTCACTTTGCAGGCACAAGATTTTAGTTGTGTGTGTGTGTGTGTGTGTGTGTGTGTGTGTGATGCACATCATGGATATACAGAGAGATTTTAATTTGGGAATAACAAAGAGATTTTTTGGTAAAATACTAATTTTGGAGGTATTTTTTTCAAGCACATATGGAGGCAGAAGGGCATTCCCAGACACAGTCTGAGGGATGACTGTTTTTTTTGTTGTTGCCTCGCAAACTGTCCTCCTTCAAATCTGAACTCACACTTTCCTCAAATCAAGAGGATATTTTTTTTAACAGTTCATGAAGGCTTTTGAACAGAGACTTTCACTGAAAAGAAAAGCTTAGCTTTAGCAGTTTCTGGTTGTGGTTTGGTGGACTAGGAAGAGAGGTGATCTGAACTAAGAGAATACATATTTTCACTGAATTCCCTCTGTCTAATGCTACAGCAAGGTGGAATTGAAAAACCAGTAAAGCCACCAGAAAACAGCTGGGACTCTTAAGTACACATGCTAGAGCACATTGCCTTTGAAAAGGTCAAAAATTTTACAAAGGAACAACCCAGTGAAGAAGTACTATTTTTATTTTATAGAAGAGAAAACTGAAGCATAAACCAGAAACTTCCCCAGGTTCACACAGTAAGCATCTGGCATTGGTTGGAATAATTAGGTTTCCTGTCATTGAGGAATACAAGGCCACTTTTCTGCTGTTTATTCATGTATAGTACAGAAACACAAGATAGTCAGGATGTGAAATCCATGATCTCACAAAGAAATTAACTTGTTAGTAATGTGTTGCTATGATTGTTAGTATTGTCCTTGAATGCCTGTTGTTTCTAGAGGAATGATTTCAGCTTAGGTAATCAGTAAATCATACCAAACACAATCTGCAAGAGATAAAGATGTTTAGGGGTGATATCTTTTTTTCCTGGCTTTCAAACCACCTCTTAACTTTGCCCAACTCGTCAGAAGCAAAGTCCTTCCTAATCAACAGAGATCAAATGAAATACAGCCTTACCTTAATAGATGCAAAACCTGTCAAGATATCTCCACTGCTCCAGCAATCAACGCCCCCCATAAGAAGTCCACACATGCCAATCCCAAAGTGAGGTACATCTCATCCAGTGTACTAGATGCCTTCCTGGAAACTATGTGGGTGAAAGTAGATTAAAACTATGGACCAGAATGAATCATCACAGGAAAAATGTTAAGGAGAGAGACACGCAAACACATGTAAGAGAACACTTTCCACAGACCAGACTCTTGCTTTCTGATCTCGCTATCCACATGGTCAACAGAACTGTACAAAAAACCTTCAAAAGGTGAGCCTAGGAACAAAACTTCATAAACTGGCTAGATACTAAGAACCAAGGACTGAACACAGATAATTGACTTCATGGGTCACTTTAATCTACCTGATTCCGCCTAATCTTTCTTCACAGCACAGGTGATGGTGACCCTCTTTCCTTTTTAAAGGTCTTGATCTTCTACTAATCAAGCTTTCTTTTCCTGTCCCATAGCTACCCCCAAATCAGCCCTCCAAAATTAAGCTGTGTGTCTTTAAGTGAGAAAGCTGATTCTCTTTGCTGGAATATAAGCATGTAGGTGTTGTGTTGTAAGATGGATGCCAGTTACTCTTTCAGAAGTGGACAGAAAGAGTAGAGTTTAGTGCTAACCCTCTCACAACTACTCTGAGCTGGCTGGCTGAAGCTGGCAGCCATTTTGCAACATGAAAAAGCCAGCTCCTTTTTTTGCTTTTCTTGCATTCTGCCATCCCAAACCAAGGTGGATGTCTTACTTAGGGGCATGTCATATGTGAGAAAATATGGCAATTCTTTCTTCTGTGTCTGAATTCTCTGATTCAGCCTGATGTCCCTGTGGTACTGGAAGCAAAGACTCATTATTGCAAAACTCACTTAATAATTAAACATCTCAGGATGTTCTTGAAAGCAGATTTCGCCTTCTAAAATTCTGTCCTCAATTTCTCCTACAAAAATTCTGTCTAGGACTTCTAGCTATAAATAGGAAGTACATTTTGCTGGTATATGTGAGAAATGGCATTGAAGTGAGAGCTTGAGAATTTTTTTTTAAATTTAAAAAAACCCAACCTCCTCACAGAAAATCCAAACCAAAGAAACAAAAGAACATCCCAACTGGTCCAGGTGACTGTTCCTTGTAGAGCATGAAAAAGAGAACTACATTCCTGGCTGATGACAAGTTCTTGAGTTGCAGCTGCTCAAGAAGCCTGAACCACACAATGTCTAATGGCCTGAAACCTGGGATGGGTTAAAGTGAATGATTAAACCGAGAAAGGAGCCAGCATAAACTAAAGATTGTAAATATAAGCCTGAATTTATTAGCTGAAGCCAGGTACATTTTTGTGTGTGTATATAAATTTCCTGTTTAAAAAAAAAAAAGGAGAGAGATGGAAAGAGAGATCCCTGTGATGCTCTTTTGAAAGTATATAAATTCATATCGCTTTCCTATCAAATATATTAGGAGACTAGAAAACATAATCTGTTCAGTACATTTTGTATTAGTACATATTAAAGGAGTTTAAAATTCATTTATTCTGTAAAATTCATTTATTCTGAAGAAGTTCTTGCAGTCAATTCTACAAATCTACAAGTGGCTTTGATCATCTTGAAATACAATGTCAGTCTTTAATATGGTTAAGTCTCTCTAGAAGGTATGCTCCTTTTACCCAGCAGAGGATAGCTTTCCAAAGCCTGTGTCTATTATGAACAGATCATAAATCTGAATATTGCATTAACATAAAAGAAGACGAACCCTTAGTAGCATAACTAGGGTGACCAGGGCAACTAGCCCAGGTACCACCATGTAAGGGGAACTGGCCGCTGCTGGCAGCCACACAGCCATGCCAACAGCACAGCAGCAAACGGACATTGCTGCTGCCTCTTCCCTGGGCACCCAGCCACATCACTACACCCTGCAAACACCACCAAGAAACGATTTGCTGTTGTACTCAATTGTCTTCAGCTCTAGGTAAGGTTTCAAAAAAGACTTACAGCATCCGGATTGCTCCATTAAAAGTGAGAGTTAACATCAGTCATTGTTAAGTTATCCTCCTCCTAAACAGTAGCTTTGATTTCTGCTTGCCATTCACCTGAGAGAGGAAAACACAATATCCCCATTTCTATCTCTTCCGCTTCCTTAGTGCTTGTGGAATAAAGCTTGAGCTCCTGTCCTTCTTTCCCTTCCCTTTTTCTCCTGGAAGGTGCTGCTGAACACTGTGAGAAGTAGGAAGTTTCAGAATAAAGGTAGCAGGCTCTTCACTCTGTAGCTGGTGCCCTGATGGAGCAAATTATAACACCTGGGTTCTGGAAAAGATGGGAAAGGGAGCAGCTTCAGGCATGGAGGACCAGTGGGAGCTGCTTGAGCAATGGGAGCAACATCTGGCCTCCCTTTATTTTGTGGAAGGATCTTCGAGAACCCTCAGTGTGAGTGGTGCACCATAAATGTAAAATACTGCTTTATATTATATATGAAGTTTAAGCGCAGGATGCATTTGTGCATGTGAATGGCTGTAATGGAAGTGCTGTCAGTCCTTTAAAGGACCATGCTGTCAGTGTATATCCCCTCCTACCCTGTAACTACTTATCTCACATTTACACTTACTGCTCTTGATGGTAGGCAGTGATATTGGGGCTTGTCTTCAGAGCAGATATGCTTCAGTGATAATCTTCCTCCAGCACCTTGTATGGTAGCTGTTCTGTGTAGCCTCCCCAGGTAGTTTTCTTCTCTTCATTCTAAAATAAACAATCTACTTCTGCTATGAATATGTCATTGTGTCGTGGAATTGAAGCGGTCTGTGGTAAGGTCCTATGTCTAACTCCCTGCTGTGTTCAGCCATTGTGGCAAGCTCATTATTAGTTCTAACTCAGTTTTCAAATGTCAGATCAGCAAATTGAAAAGATCATTTTCTGTCTTGTATTTTTTTCCTTGTAGAGCATGATGAATGTGGCACTGGACAGCACAACTGTGATGTGAATGCAATCTGTACTAACACTATCAGGGGACATAGCTGCACCTGCAAGCCTGGATATGTGGGGAATGGGACCATCTGTCGAGGTAGGTCTATTACTCTAGGAGCTTGGTAAAAGCTACAGGCTTTATTAATAATCTTTTTGACAGTTATCTAAGTTCTGGTAACTTGTGATGGCTGGACTCTGTCAAGGATTCACTGTCAGATTTATCGCTTGGCAATTGTAACATATATGGAAATGATGAACATTGATTTGGACATAATCCTTATCAGGAGGAGAATATTTTTAGATTGTTAAAAATTATTCTTAATTTATTGCCAGTGAACACTGCCATTTAAGCTGGGTTTATAGAGTTTTTAAACTGGGTTTGTGTTACCAATATCCTCTTTAAGCTAACATCTTTCTTTTTAAAGTGGAATTGTGGGATCATTACTTTTAAACCAGCATCACATGGGTTTGCCACAGGGTGCAGAAGCTGTAGAAGTTAGAGATAGGGATGAATTCCATGTATGATATGCTTTAAAATTTGTGGTTCAACAATAAACTGAAAATCTGCAATTGGTAGATTTCATGGGAGTTTAGACAATGAGATTCTGGATTTAGATAGTCTCACTATAAAATGACACGATTGTTTAAAGAAGTAAGATGAAGCTGTTTTGTAAAAGGAGAAGAGAAAATACTTGTAAACCCACAGTTTCACTAATAACTTCAGTATGGAAGTGTAATTGAATTGTGTCTGTACTGCTTTTTGCTGTTGTTGAAATTACCTGTTTTCTCAACAGCTATTGATTGCCCCACCATGGTTGTATAATTCCTGCTTTCCTATGTTCCTCCTACTGAAATTTTTGTTCATATGTACTCAGATGCTTGGGGAAAGAATAAGTTTACTTGAAGTATTATGAGTTGGCAAAATGTTTATTTGCAGGAATGGTTGGCAAATCCTCACTTCAAATTTATGTTCTTCCAAAAAGTTCCCATAATTTATAAGGTGTCAAAAAGCACAAGTCCTGTGACAGTATCTCAATCTGATTTACTATCTGGAGGATCTATATGTGAAATGGTCATGTTGTTTACAAGTATAAAGTAGTTTCCAAATGATTGTAGCTGGGGCTATAAACAATGTGAATGAAATGAACAAATGAAACAAATTCATCACTGGTGTGGGTATGTGGGTGTTGAAGTGACAGATGTTACACCAAAGGATAAATTTTCTCCAGATATTTCCTAATTCTTGTTTGCAGAGAATGTAAGGTGCACAAAAAGTTTCAGACATGATTGAGTGAATAGATTAAGTTCAAGACTGGCTCTTTATTTTCTGCAAATTATAGAGCTCAAGACAAAATACTGAATATATTTGTCTTAAACAAAGAGGTGTTGATTGATTCAAACATGCTACTACTTTGGTTTTGTTTCTCTTAGTTGAGAAA